ACGACGTCCACGTTTGTTGAACTATTACCGCCGCAGAGGGATCGTTGTGAGCTTTTAGCAATAATGTCCCTTACTGTTGACCTTATTTCCTTATTTAAATAAATGAATATACCAATACATTTATTCGAACAAATAACAAAGTTTTCATTCCGGCTGATAGAAGTAGAGAAAAAGGCTTTAACCGCGTACGTTGTATCTACGGTAATAAAGATGAAGATATATAAAACATGTACTTTATAAAAAACAAATTATGTACTCTTTATTCGTGAACGTGTAGCGCATAGCCGAAATATATTTGTTGCTAATCCGATATATACAGCTGGTGGCAAGAGAACAAGAGAACAAGGTGACAACTCTCAAGACAGCCGCTTCTACGTACCGGAGTTGACCCCGATTTTATACGGCCAAGGTATGTCACCCTTTCGGCGACCTAACTCCGTTTAGGTTAACAGGTAACATTAGTCTAAATTCGCCAACGGAGCAACACCTTGCAGCTGGGTTGCTCCAAATCTTTCTTATCAGGGCTGGTGTTGAAACCAACTCTAGTCCGACGACAATTCTGATCCGTGTGTCATAAATGACTCCACCACTCCTCCACATCGGTTAGGTGCAACCAGTGCAATGGTTGAAGTCACCTTAAGACCTGCTCAGGCCTAAAGACCCACAGGGAGTGGGCCACTAGTTATGTGGCCCCATGCTTCCAACGACAAAACGCGCCCCAGCCTCCACGGCAATGTCTTCATTACCTTTACCCACTTGGGTAATCAACAGACCTCTACGGCCTCACGGAGCTCCCCACAGCATGACTCCCACCAACATCCATCCGCAACCCTACCCACAACGAACTCCTCATCCTTCTCCCGTGCGAGGGCTACCCAGCAGCTCCTAGTCCCCCGCACAGTCTGCTTCGTGTGTCAGACCATAGTGCTTCGGAACATGACCTCAGTCAGATGCAACTCTTGTTCTGACTGGTGTCATTTCCAGACGTGCTGTGGCCTGCGCATCACCTGTGATTGGAGCGATGCGTATGTTGCTCCGTGCTGTAGGAATCTGCCCCCGCCTATTTCGACGAACCCTCCACCAACTAACTCCAATGTGCGGAACCAACCTGTGCAGGAATTACAGCAGTAAGACACTCCATTTACGCATCACTCCATCACCCCCCGTATCACGAACGTTCCCCCGAGATAGACCCGACTCCTACAATTTGTCTCTGACCACCCTAAAGATATCCGACGTTTGGAAAATGGACAGGGTGGTCCCCCTACTCAAACCGGGGAAACCAGCCAACAAAGCAGAGTCCTATCGGCCGATAACTTTCCTCTCGTCAGAAGCGAAGACACTTGAGGCCTTACTGCTTCCGACTTTCACTCACCATCTGCGTCCAGCAGCACATCAGCATGGCTTCCGTAAAGTGCACAGCACCACAACAGCACTAAATGCCATAAACACCCAAATAGTCAATGGCATTAACCAAATCCGACCCTGCGCCCGAACTATCCTGGTAGCACAGGATTTGTCAAAAGCTTTCGACACAGTAAATCACTTAATGCTACTAATGAATATTGAGGAATCCTCATTACCGCCGGGGTTGCAGAGGTGGGTCATGGGCCATCTGAGCTGTTGACAATCATCGGTAATATTACTAGGTGAAACATCGAGACCCAGAAAAATTTAACAGGGGGTTTCGCAGGGTAGTGTCCTCTCCCTGCTACTGTTTAATTTCTATATCTTGAAACTCCCTCCTCCACCAGAAGTAGTTACCCATACCTCGTATGCCGATGATTGTGCGATAATGGCGTCTGGCCAGGATATTGACGACCTCTGTTCGAAAGTGAAATGCTCTTCTTTTCTGCACGATAACTAAAAATACAACCGACTTAATCCTCGGCTACCCTCTTCACCAGCTCGACGAAGGAGAACAATTTCGAACTAGATGTGAAGGTCGATGACACAAAAATTTCGACGGTGAATAACACAAAGATATTGGGAGTAACTCTAGACAGCCTAAGCCACTCCACATACGACCGCAATCGCCGCAAAGCTCCAGAGCCGCGACAAAATACTCAAAGCGCTAGTCGGCAGCACCTGGGGTAAAGACAAAGAAACTTTACTGGCAAGCCGGCCAGTCGTAAGCTATGCTGCACCGATCTGGGCGCCGGAACAAACGAGGCGCAGATGAAAACGTTACAGGCTTGCCAGAACACCGCGTTCAGGACCGCGACAGGAAACCTCCTGATGAGCACCCCATTAGGCATCTAATAGAAGCTGAACTTCCACCTAGGCATATCAGAAAGGGAATACTAGATCTTAGATCAGGTCTGGATACTGTAGCAGGTAAAACAACTACTTATCCAGACTAGACCCCAGCATACCCAACGTATGCCCTGCATGTGGAGAGTTTCCGCTCGACACTAACCACTTCTTCACATTCCCTCTCAAATCAACTGATCTAACCGCCCTCTCCTGTCGAAGCAGCTCGTTTCCTGGATCTTCCATTAGATGACCTCGGCGACTTAAATTAATCACACTTGTGCCTAGGCGAGGTTAGCGAGCAGCTACAACAACAACAACAGAACAAGGTGGTTTCGTTTTTGAAGGGTGTTGAAGAGAGCTGCTCTGTACCGAATTGATATAGATCTCTTTTTTATAACATCCAGGCGGTATTATAGACAACTAATAGTGTCAATAACAGGCCTATTCTGTCGATGTTATAAAATATACTATGGTATTAAAATTTATCATTCAGTAAATTTTGTTACTATTTCGTATTCTGAGCTCGCTGTCATCCTATAAATTTCCTTATGCGCGAAGTAGGAGCAAACAATCTGCTGTTTGATTTTGTGTTGTTAGTTTGAGAAACAATAAAACCAAAATGTGCAGACAAATTTAACGTCTGGAATTCATTGAAGATGAATAAAATATGCAAAAAGGCTCATGTTAAGAATTTTGCAAAAAAAAATGACCATTTTAATGTGGAAGGTAGCGTTTTCATTCAGCTATCTTGTGTCGTCCTGGTATATTTTTCATAATTAGTTTTAATTATTTATGTCTTAATAAACAAATAAATAACTTATTTATTTAGTTGCGCTCCGTCTTCCTCGTCTTTCGATGTGGACATTTTTCTTTTTTACTTTACCAGCTGGCAAATGTAATTTTGTCAAACAATGTTACCTGTGCGATAGAATACCAAACTCATTTTCGGGTGTTAAAAAAAGCAAAAAAAATTTACTTTACCGGTAACAGTGAGAATAGGCCTATACGAGTACGTGTGAGAACACGAAACTATCACTGGATAACACGTGAATTCCGCTTAGATCCCAGGTTACACGTGTATAGAAGGTAATGAAAAAGCGGATGAGCTTTTTGGCACCTTCGAGTGTTGTTTAAGACAGTGGAACTTATTGGACCCCATTAGATCCTAGAGCAGCACTAACTTAGGGAGTAGCACTGTGGGGTAGTGTTTATTGCAAAGAGACGAAATTCTTGTTAGTATCCAGGAACGAGAACTAGGGATTTTTGCAGGTGTAGAGACTAAAACAATTTAATTAAGGGGACTTTGGGGGAGTGTGGTAAGCTAACCCATTGTGTTCGAGAAAAAACTGGTTTATAGCTTCTCAGAAAACTCTACGTATCATGTCGTTTTCCTACCACCTGATTCTAACAACATTGTGAATGATTTTGTCTTCCACCGGAGGGAGATGCATCGAATAAATTTAAAGTCAGAGAGTTTTACTATATTCGGACAACATAAGCTTGCCAGCGTAACTGCTATTTCTTGCTTGGTTACTCTGGAAAATCGTTAATTCTCACTGGTGAAATGTCGACATCGTTCAAGTTACTAAGCGAGACTCCCGCCCCGATGAGCGACTTACAGATATTAGCTTTGTGTATGAAATTATTTATTACTTCCGAGTTATTACCGCCAACAACGTGGGCGGCGACTTGTTCTCGTTCATTTTTAGACCCATTCACTTCAATTCTTTATCTAGAGGTAAGATGTGCTTCGCACGTATAGGCACTGTCTGATTGGGATGATGCTTTTTAATGTATGATGCCCCACACATGAATTCAGCATTTCTCTGATTGAACTAGACATTGCAGTTCATCTGTGATTTCCTCGTCCGGTAAAGTTCTGAAGCACATTGCAATTTCACAAGGTCTTCAGAAGTCAGATCCTTATTGCGCTCCGCCACATAATTTCGTTGGTTATTGGATCGGTGGATACTGCATCTAGTTCTTCAAGTTTGTTTCGGAAAAGTGTTCGGGCCAAAATTTTTTCCAGGAAGGTTCAAGTGCTTATTTAGTAACGCCATTTAATGCCGTTTCAATAGTTTTAAAACAGCCAACAATATGAAAGTGATTTTTTCAAAACTCCTTTAAAGTGAGATACTTCCAAGCAATGCTAGGAAAGTTCTTTAGTAATACGTGTTTTAGAATTCTCGAACCATCCATTACTTGCTTTGAACTCTTTTTCACTGACTGTTGATACTTCTGGAAACTTTTCTCATAAATTATTTTCTGCGAAATTGAGTCACCTTGCATTTACTTTTCGTTAATTCACATCAGAAGCATCGTCCATAATTTATGGGGGTCGCGTGTTGAAGGCATTTGCGAGTATGTTATTTTATAATTTTTACAGAAACAAAATTAAAAATATAACACTTACACATATTGTAAATTATATAAAGAGAACTGATGTTATTATGCACTTGATAATGTATATTCGGGATTTCTCCTGTTTCGCTGCCATAAACTAAAATAAATTTTGCATGCAAATAAGAACTTACAACTTTTTTTTGGTGGTTATGCGAAATTTCGTTCGTTAAGCGAAACTTTTCATAAGAAAGTATTCGTAATACGAAATGTTCGTTAGCCGATGGTCAACTGTATTTTATTTATTAAATGAGAAGAAGTTGAACAAATCCGTCAATGGATAAAAAGTCAGTACAGGTATTTGTTTAGAAAATATGGTGTTTTATCGCGTGTACTTTACTCACCATAATGTTACAAATGTTGTCCTGTCGTATTGACATCAGTGTCGTATCGTCAGATTTATTATAATGCGGGTAATCACGCTTTTTTTTAGAGCGCTCGTTAGCCACTTGTTGGTGAAATAACTGCATCTGTGGTAGCACGGAGGCATGATACTTGGCGCGCGGAATCATTACTGTTAGAGATTGATCGCCTTGCTCTGGATAACTGCGTTCCAAATGCGTAAATGAGTTTTGTACGATCAATGAATGCTTTTCGGTACCAGTGGTATCTACGATATTACCTTCTGCCTGCGGTGGATGTTCATTGAGGTAATCTCGAGATGGGTGACACGATTTCTTCGAACCAGGCATTGTCTCCTTCAATGTATATTCAAATATGAAAAAAAGTAAAAAAAATAAGTAAATTTTTGAGAATATTTAAAGTAAGAATCCAAATACTAAGTCAAATATATACGCCGAAAATCGTAAAACCACTTACTTAAGTGTATAAGTTGTGGTTGAACCGCTTCTTTAAGCTAGCTGGGCTATCCTAGTGATCTTCTTTATATTATTTAAAGAAAATTAGTTGTATTAGCAAGCATTAGGCATTTCAACGAATTGAAAAATGTTAAGAAGTTTTAGGTTTTAGAAGCGAAAAGGTTTTTATAGCCTGATCTCCTGACTACAATGAAGTTCAAATGACAATTGCCTACATGGAGATCATCAAGCCTTTAGAAATTAACCTGAGTTAATAGGCTAAAAATAAATGTTCGGAGGTGGCTTAGAATTAGAATTAAATAGGTTCCGTTATTAATAGGAAACCATATATAGAACGACACACCACAAATTGGCTCGTCCGAAAACCGCTTTCCCGATTGCAAATCGCCAATAGAAATATGTATTAGCAAAACTTTTTCTCCAAAAGATAATAAGACAAACTCTTAATTTTTAAACTATCCCTGTCGTACACGCTACGAAAAGGGACAGAATGGAGACAGTACAAGCATGCGAAATGTGTAGTATACGAAGCTTTAAGATAAACTTTCATTAAAAAAATTGTAATATATGTACACGTATATCTTTTCATATAAAAACCCGTGTTCGTGTGTATGTTCCGAAATAACTCAAAAACGAGTCAACTGATATTTGTGAAAGTCGACATATATGTATGTTATTTGGTCCAACTTAGGTGATAGGATAGTTATTACTTAAATTCATGGTCTCAATAGTTACTAATTAATAAAAAACTGAATAGGCGTGACTGACTTTAGTGAAATTATATGTGCATATTCAGCAGGCCTGAGAATAATGGAACATCTATTTTTCACACCTCTAAGCGATAAGGGTAGTCCACCATAATCTTCTTTTAGGATTTTTTGGATCATTTTTTTGTTTTCAATTTTTTTACAGCCCTAAATTTTCACCTTTCTATCATGAACCCCTATTTTTTTCAAAACAAAAAATATTTGCCAATTTACATGACAGGTTTGAGTAGCGAAGAATATAATAAAACAATTTATTATTTGGTATTATATGATGTTTGATAAGGGGTTTTGTCATTCTTTGCAATATCAATGAGAATAAAAATTCTACAAAATATATACTAGAAAGCCACAACGGCGTGTGGCCGGGTCTGTCTTATAAAAAATATTTTGTCAAACAATTTTAAATTTGGTTTATTTTTTTTGGCCCTATAAGATAGCATAAAGAAATACCATCTGCTGTATGTAACTTTTGTTTCATTTTTAATTATACTCTTTAATGTTCCAGAAAATACAGATTAATTATTCGCTTTCGAAACGAACGTTAGTTAACTCTTTGACATTTAAAGGAGGAGGAGTTTGACGTCGTCATCTATTTGAACATATTTTGTAGAGTACTTAGTGATTCTTCTAGATTCTGTTGAAATGAGAGGGTCGGACGAAACCAATAGAGTGTGCATCCGGTCATACATGGTGTGTAGCCTTGAGGTTTTCGGCAGGTGATTCCGCCTATAATTGGGGAAATCTTTGGTTTTTGCTTCCAGTGCCTCTTCGGGCACTGTACCTATTGGTAATGAAAAATTGTCACTAATATCTGCCCCTCGTATTAAGATCTTATGAATTGATAGAAGCGTATAAAACCAGGGGTATTCTGCTACAAATAATTCTTCAGTTTCCCAAGCATTAGTTCGAAAAGTTTCAACATTGAAGGCATACCCAGAGACCATTGTACGCGAAATTGCGGTAATTCTGCTGAAAAAAACCTTCTGGCCGTACTCCCGTTGTTTGTGCTTCCTGAACCTGTATATCCAAGCGTAGAATGATAATCCATGTTCGCACACAAATTTCTTTGTATGCCTCAGCCGCATCAAATTCAAATTGCTCATTAATTTTTATGTCGCCCGACATATTTCGCAGGCCTATGATGACGACTCTGCTATGGCATTAAACACTTTACCTTCAATCAAAGTAAGGTGGAACTCACGCTTTATTTGTACATATTTTCTATCTAAGCCCACTGACTCTTTTTAAAAAATTAATTCAATTGGTATGCAAAACCGAATTAAAGACGGCTGATCATTTTGCCAAAGTATTGTTGATCCACTTTTATTTGCAGAGGTACAATAAAAGCTGCAAATAAACTTAGATCAGTTGCTCCAATTTCGGGACATTAAAGCATTGTCTAAAAGTAGACTGCTACAGTCACGCCCAGTTTTTATACAATCATTGATGATCGAACCTTTCGAGTGGCTTTCGAATGTTATCGAAAAGCTTTTCATTGTTCGTGCAGTGTGGTCAACAAGACAGCAAAACCATTTCAGTACTCCATTTTAGTTTTACTTAATATTTCGTAGTTTGGCACCATTGCATTTATTTATATGAGCTTTTCGCAGAGCGAACATCTAAACACAGACCTAAGTCCTTGTTCAGGTGTGTGTGGCGTAGACGTTTTCGTCTCAGGTTCAACAAGCTTAAGCATTTTTTGAAGCTATTGCAGACTGTGAGCCTAACTTTCATACAACTTGTGAAGCATATTTTTTCCAACTTTGTAAAGACTTATGCCCGCTGCTGCCATCAACTCTACGTTCGGAGTTTTGTTTGCGCTTCCTAAAAAAGGTTTGTGTTTACGGCGATTAATTGCTGGTTCAAGAAAAATAGCATCGTCATCTAACCATTCTTTAATCTGCTTTTCAAACAATTCCAGAATTCAGTGACCTGCTTTCCACTTAGCACTTTTGAATTTGTTAGCTTTGCTATTCGCTATATTTCGAGAGATCAATAATGTTAGAAAATTCCATATTTCAACCACCACAATTTTTATTGTTGGAACCGCTTCTTCTTCTTCTTTATTGGCGTTGGCACCGCTTTCCCGATTATAGCCAAATCAATATTAGGGCGCCGTTCATCCCTTGCTTCGGTGCTTGACGGTAGTTGGAAATACCTAGTTAAAGCAGGTCACCTTCCACCTGATTCTTCCAACGGAGTGATGATCTTCCTCTTTCTCAGCTTCCACTACGTCGAAAGTTAATATGTAGAGTTTGGTTTTCGTTCACCGACAGAGGACTTAACTTTTCTATTGCGTACTCAGTAAAAAATAGCACCTGTTGGCAAGAGTGATTCTGAGTTGAATTTCCAGGCTGACATTGCAGTTGGAGTTAATACTAGTTCTAACATAGACGAAGTTATCTACAACCTCAAAGTTATGCCTGTCAACAGTAACGTGGAAGTCAAGTCTCGAATGCGATGACTGTTTGTTTGATGACAGAAAATATTTCGTATTGTCCTCGTTCAGTACCAGACCCATACGCTTCGCACAGCTCTCGACGCGGTAGTTAAGGCCAATTATGATAATATTATTGGCGGATACTAGTAGCTTATGTTTAACTCTCTTCAACAATGAATTGAAAAAGTCTTACAGGAAGGAATCACGTTGTCTGAAATCTTGCTTTGTATCGATTGACTCGGAGACGATTTTCTGTCTTTTGACGGAATTCTTGGTGTTGCAGGGGTTCATGTGGTAGACGGCTGCTTTAAAATCGACAAAGATATGGTGTGTGGCAACTCTCTTTTTACGAGTCTTTTCGAAGATCTGGTGCATTACATTGTGCATTGTGAAAATAAGTGGTTATGGTTGATTTATTAGGTCTGAAGCCACACTGATAAGGTTCAACCAAGTTGTTGACGGCGGGCTTCAGTCTTTCCTACAACACCCTTAATATAATCTGGACATATTTTGCAAAATGGTTCATACATGCACCTTATCAATTCCTCGCAGCATATTTGAATATTTCGGCTGCAAATTAACCGGTTCCCGTCGCTTTGTTCTTTTTGTAGCCTGCAATTACAGCTAACTCCTTTATAGTATGGCAATGAAAAAACTGATCCTTTATCATCCATTAAGGTATTTGGTCCGCCATTTACAGGTGATGCATTTCCCTACCGCTTAGCAAGGAAAAGAAGTCTTTCCTCCATAAATTCACACGCCATCGTATCTTTTCATCAAAATTTCGAGCATATCCTTTCGAGTAGCTTCAAGCTCTTCGCGCGTTTCGGCCCCTTTCTCTTGGTATCTATGCCATCCCCATCCCATAAGTTGGCCACGATAGTAAGGCTGAAAGGTCATACTCGCTACCGGCCTTATCTCGTCTACCGCACTTCTTGGACGGCGGGATGTTAACTTTTAGTTTGACGAGGACATCAACGGCAGCCAAACCCTCCAAATTAAGGGATAGAACATTCCAGGTTCACGCCTTAAATCATAGTACTGAAGGTTTTGGTCTTCATCAAAAGGGGGGTATCTTATCCAAAGCTTTGATAATTTTTACATTGGTTTATTTTTCTACTATAAGCGATTAATTTTGAATTTTACACACATTTATATAGCGAACCGCTTGCATCAAGACCAACGTCCGCACGCAGATGCCCCTCTAGTGAACAGGCGCTGTAACTTCCGAACTCTAGTATCAACCACGTTTAGTACATATTTCCTAGTGAGGGTACAAATTGGGCATTTTAATTAATATGCTAAAAATTACTTTAGTTATATATATGGGAGTGTTGAAAATGATATATTAAATGGTAATTTTGAAGGGGTCTCCCACACGATAGGTGTAAAACAAAAAGGGCACAAAAAAATCTGCGCCAGCTATAACCTTATAATATCGCGTAAAAGGTTAAGTAGAAAGTGCTGTGTGGACAAACTGACCTTAGAATGTATAAATCGTTCGCCAAATTTAGTAAACGACCCGTGAGAAAAGGTTTAGCGCATATTACCTTTTCGTTGATTTAAAGCAGCCTTCCATTGCACGAAAAAAAACTGCCTCTGCAAGACTATGTCTGAATTTTCTATACTCGAAAAATTTAAATTGACGCAAAACCAAACAAAATTTCAGTAGGAAGTGAGTCTCTACCATTTAGCTTCTTTAGTTCAACGCTGCAGAAAATTATAAGATATAGTGCTCCGCTTACTTTAAGTTGAACAAATAAGATCCGTATGGGTCTGACAATAAAATGAGGAGAAAGGGAAATATTCGACCAACGGATGCTCCTTTAACGGGAGCAATTGAAAACTATAAATAGCAGAGGAAAAGGAATATCTTTATTCATTCCATTGGAACTCCATTGAGCGCCGAACGGGGAAAAGAAGAAACTACTACAACGCTACTTTTGACCAGGCTATAATCTGTAAAAAGTTCCTAAGTCAATAAAATAAGAAAAAAATCGAAAGCTTTACTATTTGAACTATGGGTCATGACTTTATATGCATGTTGCAAACTCAAAACTTTGAACTGGCGAGTATTTGGAATAGCTACAAATGAGTCAACATGGCTCTTTTGATAATGTTAAGTAAGTTCTGCAAATCTTATTCATATGTTGGTGTCGCCTGAACTACTTTCTACTCACCTTTAAAATGTGAGGCAAGGTATTTTTACTACTTTCACTGCTGGTGTAATTAATTATAGAGCATTTATCGTGATTTATCCATTTGCTTCTATCTCGGGTTATGCCATGTGTACTGTTACCCTTATTAACGCCGATTCCAGCAAGCGCTGAATTTTTCGCTATAATTATACGATGGATACCCGTACTACACTGTGATAGTGGGCGAGGTTTCTTGCGTATAGTATGGTGTCTTTTGGTATACATTAGTAAGACACAAAACAACAAAAGTGTGAAGAGCAGTGTACCAATCGCCATCAAACCAATGAGTAGTATCTTCAAATTCAGTTTACAGGTATATCCAGTATACCAAGCAAAACATTCGCAAACCGTGTAATCTCCGTGGTCGGTTTGCTGTGTGGTACATTTGCCGTGATGATGGCACTGCTCGCAGCCTAATAATTCTGACGAGCAGATGCGACCTGGATATATAGTATTGCATGACAAGTCTGCATATCCCTCTTCGCAGCAGCAAGTGTAAGTGCCTTGTAAATTGAAACAACGTGCGTTTGGCGAACAGTCATGAAACTGTATATCATCACATTCATTGAAATCTATGTAGCAAAAATATATTATTCATTATTACTGATACAGTTTAAAAGTAAAATATTTGTATACTGACCTTTAATAGCCAATAATTTGACATCATTACGGTTAGTGTAGAGTTCTGTTCCACCAATGCTATAGTTGCTTTGGCGTAGGTACTTTTTGAAAACGCTGGTCAGACGATTCTCGCCGATATTTTCTGAGAGCTTTATAAATATGTATACAAGAAAAATAAAATTTAGCGAATTAGGTATATATGCTATGTGCATATGATATTTATGTATGATAGCACTGAAATTTCAAATGACTAATGGTACCCGTATTATGCAGTTATGCTAAATTAACACACTTAATAGTTGTTAATAATGAATTAAATAATACAAAAATAGATTACATGGCTGATGTTGGCACAGTGGTAGAGCACTCGCTTGTTAAATCAGGATCCGTTGGATCGATACCTGCCATAAAAAGTCTGATGAGGAGATGTCGTGACCGCTGTCACTTCTACCATTTTTTTATTTTTGTTGTGTAACAAAAATATTCAATGCATACTAACAAACTTGGTCTTACGCTCACTAAAAACTTGTAACAATAATAATTCTTATCATTAAATATGATTTTTATTATAAAGTTTGAGCCTTGGCATTATATGTAAAACACCATCATTCAAATCATCCCCACACGATTTTCAGCAAACTTCTTCTGTTTGACGTAGATACTGCTTACGCGATTAAAGCCGAATTTATAAAATGTGTTCATCCATTTCTTTTTGAAGAAGACTTTCCTTCTATATCTGGTCTTTCCAACGGAGCGGAGGTCTTCCTCTGCTTCCACCGGCGGGTACTGCTTCGAAAACTTTCAGATCTGGACTATTCTTACTCATTTTTTATTCGCTGAACTATGTCAATGTTCATATCTCATACTGCTCATCGTCCCATAAGATGCGGTATTCGCCGTAACCAACTCGTAGAGGACCGTAAATCTTATCTTCTTTGAACGGCTCGGAGAGGTCCTTTCGCTCCTGACGACAGGTGCTGATAGGGTCCAATCAGCTTGTTGACGGTGGGTTTTTGTTTCTCAAATAATAGGCTCGATAGAGCTTTAAATGCGATGTTAAGGAGGTTCATCCCACGGTAATTAGCGCAGACTGTGAGGTCCTATTTTTGTGGATTGTGCAGACCAAACTCAAATTGCAATTGACGGGCATACTTTCAACCGATCATATTCTGCAAAATAGCTGATGTTTGTACCTTGTCAGCTCCTTACCGCCATGTGTGAATAGCTCTGCCGAAATGCCGCCGATATGACGTCAGCTTCAGCCACTTTCTGGTTCTTTAGGCATGCAATCGCTATTCGAAATAGAGTGCTGCATCGGTACGCCTTTAAGTTTCGTGAGTTTTGGAGTAGAGCAAATCGGCACCGTCAGTGCTTCAGAAAGCGCATGAAAAATATCTTCGGTATTTCACGGCACCGGGTGTAAAGAACAATTGAGCTTATGAGTTTTGCTGCCGTCCGTACCGAGCATAGCGAATCATATTTTTTGCGGTAACCAAGACACTTTTTGGAGTGTTTCAAGTGGCTTTTTTTTATCTCTATAGAATTTGAAGCAATTGATTTGTATACATATTTTATGGTTTTTTTCATTGCGTTTATAAAATATTTTCACCATTGTACTTTTAGAGACAGTTTTAAGTAAAATAAAATAATCTTAATGTAGAAATTATTTTATATTCTTTTCCACTGAGAATTTTTATTATTCAATTTGTATGTTTCTTGTAAATATAGCAATTTTACTTAATAATGTAAATAACAGTTATTTTTTCAATTTCTCCTGATTTGATGAGTAAAAAATAAAAAGCAAAAAAGAAAAGAGCATTAAAGAATAATTTATAGCTTGCTCTACTCTGGTTGGTGCGTCGCAGGGTCCGGCCTGCTCGTTCCGTTTTTGTTGTTGCCTTGTTTTGCTCGTGCAGTACTTTGGGAAAATCCGAGTAGCTTATAAAGTGGGTATACCCATGCAGAGCTGTAATTCGAACCTCGTCTTTATCGGATGGAAAGTCTTTCAAATGTTCCGTCTACAAAATTTAATTAACTCTGGGCATCGGTTACTAGATCACCCGTTTTTGTCCTACAAGAGACTGCTCCGCGGTTGAAACCTTCTTTACGCGTCGAATCTTTCTCAAGTTGTTCATACTTACGCATCTCAGCCACTTTCTTTTTTTTGTCCGCACATTCGTCACGCTTCCATCTTCAATATTTGGTATCTATGCCATCCTACACGTGTAGTGATCGATCACAACGTTGTCAGCTATGTAGCCTGCTTTCTCTCCACTGTGACATGGGAGTCCGCATCGTGTCAGCTGTTTCGCGATCTTCGGAAATCCAATAATTTCGTTTGCAGCTGCACGTTGGGAGCTTGAAATGCCGTCCCACAGTTTGTTATACCGAGTTATTGATAAGTGCTATCAGAGAGCAGGTGTCCACGCATTTAAAACCGCTTGCCAGTCTGTTGTGTTTGCAGCTTTTCGATGTCTACCTTTCCTTTTGCTTTTGACGGGGGTTCTTTGCTGCACAGAGGAAGGTGCATATCTTTGCTGCAACCAGATAGTGGTCAGAGTCTATGTGTGTATGAAGTGTACGCACGCCCAGAACACTGCAGACATGTCTCCTGTCTATCACAATATGGTTTTATGTTTTTCGATCAGGAGTCAGCCAAGTAGATAAGTGAGTTTTCGGTGAACGTAGCCTCTCTTCCACTACAAATCCGAAACCTAATTGGCACACCTCCATAGCCGTTGTAGTAATTGTCAATGAAGCTAGTTTCAATGTTATGGGTCCCACGCCCAACGCACAACCCCGCTGGGCAAGTAAGTTTAAAAATTGTACACATTTATATTGCTATTTTAGTTAGACTTTAGAGGACCCTTAATCCACTGAAGCTTTCTTTCTTTTATCCGTGAACCAAGGCCTAACACAGGTTGGTTACCGCATCTTACATAAGGGTTGCTCACTTTTCCAGGATACAAGACGTGGACAAAAGAGTCTGAATTGAGTATAGCCCCATGATTGTAGTTGCATACCCAAAAGCTTTGTTATACCCCATTAGACCCATACATACATTACACTATAGAAAAAAACACAAACCGCTGTAACAGTTCAAAAAAGAATTTTAACCTCAAAAACATATAGAAAATGAATACTTAAAAGCCGGAATATACTTATAAAACTATAAGTTAAAAAATACAAATATGCTAGTGAAAAAAAGGTTTATAGTTAATCATATTAGAATATGAACCCAAAATTCGTACAAATCTTAATATAAAATAGCGTAATTGAGGTTTTTCAAATTACGCTCAACCGATTTCACGGCAGAAATGAGACTGAATTAATAATTGAAATATTAAATTAACATAACTTGAATTTAGTTGCAGAAGGCAACCACAACTTGCCTTCTCCTATTGTTCTAGACGCTGACATCAGCACTTGGCATTTTACCGGATGCGCGTGCAGTTGCTTGGTATTAATAATTTAGCTGTTGCGCTAATTCTTTGAATTAGTGCAGCTTCGATTGCAAACAGGAAATGTGAAATAATGTTAGTCAGCAATTAAAATTTCACCTGTGGGAATTTTTATTGCGGAGTAAGAATGTAAATATGTAATTTGTTACATTGCAGCGAAAACAAAAGGTAAGCAAAGAATGTAAATATGTAATTTGTTATATTGCAGCGAAAACAAAAGGTAAGCAAAGAATGTAAATATGTAATTTGTTATATTGCAGCGAAAACAAAAGGTAAGCAAGTTATTGTGGCGATTGCCGAAAATATGTAAGTATGTAAAATGAATTAAGTGTTAACTTATATATATGAAAATGAATGTTTGTTTCTTAGTGATGCTAAGGATTGGTGAAATGGGTTGTTCGTTGTGGATCTGGGAAAATTTTGAAATAAAAAAAGACTAATACTTTTTCTAAAGAAAAGTCGGCAAATTGGAATAACTCAAAAAGTGACTTTACCATACATATTTTTAACAACATTTTTTTTCAGATTTGTTTATTCGAACAGTTTTCCTTTGCTGGAAAATTTTTGTGTTACTTCTCCAGCTGATTTGCAATTTATTTTTTTATTTCGAGTATTTATTGAAAATTATTCAGTGAAAACTTTATGTGTGCTTCATACAAAGATAAATTACAGATTGAATTTTTTAACGATGCCACGTAGAAGTCGCGCTAATATCGGTCGGAGTACCAACGTACCAACGTAATTATACATGACGTCGTACGGAAAAGGAAAATCCTACTGCAAGGGAATCTGCTCAAATCGGAATTATTGAAGTTGTGTTACATTGAAAAAGATGTGTAGTCTCCGTCGATTTTACCGCTTTGAATGCAGGTATTCTGGAAATCCACTGGATATCAGCTTTTTCCCCTAAAAATGTGACGGAGTGTTATGAAACCTTCTTATCCAAACTGAATGATCCATTTTCTAGTTGTCTTTCTTTTGTTCGTCCTCGTCTGCATAAGCTTCCGTGGTATACGAAGCGTTTGAAAAAGTTTAAAAATCTTAGAAACACATTTTATAATTTATTTAATTATTTTATATTAAAACTTTTAACGTGGTCTATAAGTTTCTTTATACGCATTATATTTTCCGATTTGAGGAAAAGTTAAAATAGAATCTGAAAGCCCTTTGGAAATTTATCCGCTCTAAAATAGGTAGTTACAATATTCCTTCTTGCATGTCTTACTTTGTATACCGTAAATCTGTTTGCCGAAATTTTCAAATCTAACTGTCGTTTGAATGCTAACACTTCCGTTTGTAGTGACCTGGAAATTTCGCAGACTTTAGATATCGGTAGTCTCTCGGTCACTGAATTGGATGTTTTGAATGGTATTGCTGCTTTGCAGCTCTCTTTGAGTAGCAATTTCGGGCTTTCTTCTTATGTTCTAAAAATGTGCAGTTCGTCTATTTCCGCTTCCTTGAAACACATTTTTAATCATTCGTTGCCGTCTGGTCTTTTCATTAATCGTTGGAAAATTGCTTCTATCTCTCCGTTTTTTAAGTCTGGTAACAAATATGACGTAAAAAATTATAGGCCTTTATCAAAATATCGATTTGTTCGAAACATCTCGAGAAAGTGTTTAAGGCTCCATTAGCCAGCATCAGCATGGTTTTGTCCTGTCACTAACCTAGCCTGTCTTTCTCGTTATTACATTGCGTCTTTTAAGAAGGGATATAAAATTGATGTCGTCATACTGATTTTTCTAAAACCTTTGATACTATCCTACTTAGCATTGCATAACGTAGGCAAGAGTGCATAGGTTTTCACTCTTCGTTTCTATCTTGGCTTAGATCATATTCTTCCGATAAATTATCTTTTGTTGACTTGCATAATATGAGATCTAATGCCTTTGAAGCCACCTCTGAGGTACCTCAAAGTAGCATTCTTGGTCCATTATTATTTCTTCTTTTTATAAATTACATAGAATCTTGGTTTAAGAATTCAAACTTCTTGCTCTATGCAGACTACCTAAAACTATTTAAATGCATTAGATGTTTTATTTTTACAGGGGGATCTTAACAACAAAGCCAATTGGAGCATTTAGAATAATTTGCCCCTTAATATAAAAAAAAGTTTTGACATTACTTTTTAAAAGTGGTCAAATATGTTCAGATCGACTTATTACCTATTTTATAATAAGCTATATTTTGTAAATGAATCTTTGGATCTTGGTGTGCTATTTGATATGGGATATACCTTCATTAATCGCATTCCTAAAGCTAAATTCAACTGTACTGGATACAGGCATCTCGTTATCATGTGTAAGCAACAATAGCAAAAATTTTAATACCAATACATACAAATAAGCATGGCAATATATTTGATATTTCCTACTCTTTCTCTTTTTCAAACTTCTTCCTGTTCGTCGCCTGCACATTCTTTATCGACACTTAAATGTGAGTAAAGATTAAAAATTAAGAATTAATGAATTTCAAGAGAGTAGAAGATAATTAGATATTCAAATAATATCTCATATTCATTTCTTTACTTTATTTTGGTAAAATAAATTTTATTGAGTTATTCCCAAATATCAGTTTCATTCCATAAACCACAAATCTTGGAAGCACAAAATGTAGTAATCTCGACAGAGATGATTTAAAAGTTAATCTTAGCCAGGAGGTCTATAATATTTCCATTTCCCAAAGATCTTTCTTTTTGATTGGAGCTGCCGAACGATACAGATGTGCCTTAATAAGTAATTTCACGCTGTTTATCGTAAATTCTTTTTATAAAAATCAATTAAATATATTAGTGTTGATATATTCCAAATACGAAACGAACTAAGAGCAAAGTAAACTTTAGAAGTCAATATCGGAAGGGAAAACATTTGGCAAAAATTATCTTCTGCCCCAGAGAAGTTGCATATTTTATCCGGATATCAGGAATTAAGAACAAGTGAATTAGTCAGCGGGAGCAAGCGATAGATATTTTAAGGGATATGCCGAATTATAAAATAAAAGTGGAAAAAACGCATTTATTTATAAAAAAATGACATTTTTAATTTAGTTAAAACATATATATACCGGAATAACGAATAGTATTAGTATAATATATCTAAATACTTAAATCAAAATTATAATGATATAATATAATAAATATAGTCATATTGTTGAAAGGTTTGTTTTAGCGTTTCTAATCTTTGCACTATTCGTATTCGTATGTACACATAACTTTTATATTGCGTTTTGAACGTTTTTTTCTAAAAAAAAAAAAAGCAACTAACACAGGATGTAGTGGCCGCTGATGAACATTAGCACAGTATCTCAGCTAAGCCAGCGGCTCTTTGAAGAAGAAGATCAGAATGATGGATACATTTTTTTTCTAGTTTACTGTGTTATTCGGCATTGAAAACGTGTTGTTAAGGGGTATGGCCACAGTAGAATGCTTTATAGTCATAAAAATGATATGCCATTTAACTCAGAATGAAATAATCATTTTTGACTGATTGAATTTGTATATCGAAAGCCCACCTCCGACTCGGCTAACTTATATGTGAAACTTTAAACGCGTTTTTCTCGAAACACTTTTTTTGATGTTTTTCATGTTTATTATTGCATTCCGCAAGGAAGTACGTAGGGGATTCTCGATTAATCAAGTACTTTTTTTGTTATGACTAGTTTATAACAGAATTATTGACTAAAAATGCACGTTTTCTGTTCAAATCCCTATAATTTCCATAAGAATCAATATTTTTGAAATCCCCTACGTACTTCTATAGTTATTGTCATGCAGATTAACGACATTTTTTTGTTTTGTTCCAGGACAAGAATTGTAGATGCAAAATGTCACGCCGTGGAGCGCTTTAGAAAAATTGATGAAAAAGAGATCAGATATCTCGGCCATTTTGTGCCGGAAAAAAAATCTAAAAAAATAGTTTCTCATAAGCTTTATATCCGAACTTCATCGCTATGTGATTATTTTCATGAATAAATAATAGTTCCATACAAAAAAAATATTACATTTGAACATGGTTTTTTACCCGCTAGTGTGGCCATACCCCTTAAAGTATTTTCTTATAGTAATAATAAAAAATATTATTTGAAGTAATAAATTTTTAAGTAAGGAAGCGAAAGTTGAAAGTACCCAGGAGAAATTCACTATGAAATAGTAATAGTTTTTCTTAGTTTTTGTGTTGAAAAAAAATGTAAATCATAAAAAAAATAAGGGAATTAGACAATAACAAGTAATTTACTATTTAGTGTACAAGTTAACACATAATAAATTACTTATCATTTTGCCTTTACTATAACATAGCGAATTACATATTTACATTCTTTTGGCAATCGACAAAATAAATGCCATAACCGAATTGTCGCTGACACTTCAGTTAAAGTCAACTCAGCAATAAAATTTCCCACAGGTGAAATTTTAATTGCTGACTAATATTATTTCATATTTCCTGTTTTGCAATCGAAGTTGCACTAATTCAAAGAATTAGCGCAACAGCTAAATTATTGGTCACCAACCAACTGCACGCGCATCCGGTAAAATGCTAAGTGCTGCTGTCAGCGTCGCAGTGTTGCCTTCAGTAACTAAATTCTAACTATATGAATTTAATTATTCAATTGGTAAATTCAGTCTCATTTCTGCAGTGAAATCGGTTGGGCGTAATGATAAATAACAATTACGCTATTTTAAATAAAGAAATATAAAGAGAATATGAAAACAAATTAAAACTAAGCAAAGTATAAATTCAATTATGTAAATACGTGAATAATAGGAAAGTAGGTCAAGTTACTGAAAATTAAAGCATAACCGTGTTCAGAAAATAATGATAATGACGGTAGAAAAAAAATCTATTTTTTCTCCTAATATTAACTAAATACTGATTTCTAAAAGTATACAACAACAGCAGCATACGACGAGACTCATCGAAGGACTTAGAAGCAGCTTCTAAGTATGTACGTATGTAAGTAAAACTACCAAATATTGATATTTTCCTTTATTAAATTTTTTATTTTGCTAATGTTCATGGATATAAGAATTTAAATATTGAATGTTTTGTATCCATGCATATCTTTCAGTTTCATTATTTGCTGAATTTTTCTTTGTTTGAAACTTACTTTTTGCAATGGGTTATTAACAATTGATTAAAATAGCAAATAAATTATAGTAATTAATAGCGACTTGATAAAATTAAAAATTGTATTTAAAACTAGTCTTAATAAATGGAATTATGTAGTTATTTGCCATTCAGAAAAAAACGTACGTTATGTTTAAATTAATAATTATTAGCACTCTATGTTCAATTTAGTAAATAAAACATTATGATGAACTCTTAACTCTTGAACCAGTGGTCTGATATTGGATGTCTTGTTGATAGGTCAAAAGGGGTTTCTTCTACAACAATGAATCCATTGGTAGGGTGGGCTTGGAGCAGATAAAACAACATTAGTGGCTGCTAAAACATTTGTATGGTTAGGCGTTATCTAGGAATTTAGGAGGCTTAGACAACAGCGCGTCGGTTCACCAAATTCTTTTATTTATTGTGTGCAAATTTTTCTTTGTCCTGTTGTTTCTTTCCAACGTCCATATTTCCGGCTTGGTCCTGAAAGCCATTACAAGCCGAACTCCCCCCATGAATGAAGCAGCTGGAAAGCTAGTGCACACAAATGGTGGTAAGGATATAAGCGGAACCGGACGCTAACTATAAAATGTTAGTGGGATGTTGATAGTGGAGGAATAGCATAACAAAAATGGCGCCCAACGTGGGATACGCGAAGTCGTGGAGCACGTGAAGAAGCGGTCTTCACCTGTTGGATTCATATGAAGGATCCTTATTATAATGTCTGTCTGCTCGAGAAAGAAATACTGCGTTAAAACTTTGGAATTTAGCCTATGGTCATTGCTTACCAAATTTTTTTTTCTCAGTTTATTTTCTCTTTCTAATTTTCTATTTAAATGTCCATGACTAAATGTTTATCGGCCAAACCGCATTCTGGTTGGTAGATTCAATACATGTAAAGTTTTTCCAATTTTGTTTAGAAGTCTTCCAACTATACACCTAAAATTAATTTAAATTTGTAATATTTCAATGTTTAAGGAATATTAATCATTATTTTTCGTATATTTAAATCAACCCTTAACATTGTATTGCCGAAAATTCCGTAATCTCCTAACCAGAACCTTGGCAAATGGTAAAAGGTTTTTTCATCAGCAAACACAGCCGAAAGTAAGACCACAACTACAAAACACTTATTGAACTTTGATGAAGCTACGGATTCATAATTTCTTTCTTATTAATACAAATCGACTAGAAAATTATTTAAAAATTTATCATTGAAAGATATGAAATATCGCAATCTACACTATTCGAAATCTACTAGTCTTTTGTTGTCTATTTGAATATTGCTTTTCGCAGCTCATAGGTTGATTTCAATATTTTTTTTTTTTTTGATATTGCGCCTCTTGTTGACAGGGCCAATGACAAAGCATAGTAACAAAAACTTACCACATCAGGTAAATTCTTGTGTTATATGTCGCACAAATTTTAGCGAGAACGATGAAGTTCTAACAACTACACGTGTATATGCTCACACAAATTTCATCGATATTGTTTGCAAAATTGGCTAAAACGCGATTCCGTCTGTCCTCAATGTCAGACTGCTTGCAACATCAGATATTTTGTTACTAATACTGGCACGCGTACACGGCCAAAGCAAAGAGTTACTGATGCAAACACCGTCTGTAATAACCCAGATTGAATCATGACCAGTTTAATAGGCAATTAGATCAACTATGCCTTAGCAACGTGTCGTCAAGCCTTAACAGCATTAAAGCAGCGAGGTTAATCTCCAGCTGGGACATTAAATTTGATGGATCTCCAAATCTTACTGTAGAAAGTTTCATTTACCGCATCGAATCAAAAGTTGTATCATAACTCAATTTTAAAAACTGCTGAGAATCTCCATTCACCATTGCCGGAAGCAGAATTGGTTGAAATTATGCAAAGAAATCTGCGTCCACGTCAACAACTTTGTTTAAAGGGTGAAAATTTGTCGAAAGAAATTTCTAGTAGCCAACAAATAGTATCTCGTAGGCTAATTTGCAAACTTGAGGAACATTTAGATTTTGAGTTGCCTTTTACTGAAGTAGAAACGATTAATCAGTAGAAACGATTAATCAGCTAGCCCAAACCTCGAAAATTAAGTACTGGAATTGTCGTAAAGAGGGACATACATTTTATGATTGTCTAGAAAGAAGGCAAGTTTTTTGCTATGGATGCGGAGAACCAAATGCTTATAAGCCGAATTGTCCTAAATGTAGTTCGGGAAACGTGAAAACGAGCGAGGCTTTCAAAGTATTTTCTCGCCTCGATTAAATAAAACAAAGATTATCATTCGCCATGACATACCTTTTAGCATTCGGCCTAAATTAACTTAAATAGTACCATATGAAGTTCGAAATCTTTAATAATGTAATTAAACCTGTCTTAAAACCTCGTTCGTCTAATCGAATGAATACTTTTTGGAAGAACATTAAGCTTCAACGTCGTATTAGGTGGTATTATTTTCTCAATCCAAAATAAAGGCGTAGATTTTAGACCACACGCCCAAGTTTCTATTCATTAAGGAACTTAAACACGCACAGCCGACCGTAGAAAACAGATACGATTATAGATACAAGGGATAGCTTTTTTTGTCATACCTTGCATGTCTCAAGATGTAATCTTAGATTTTTGGAGTAAATTCCAGATAGCACCACACATCATTTCACAAATTGATATCGTATATTTTGCAGAAATTTCCGAGGATGAGAATAAACTTTGTTTGTCTGATGAGCAAAACAACAACAGCTAAATTTAGTAAATTCAAAGTTTCCGAGTTGTGAGAAAGAAGTGTTGGAAAAAACTTCATTAAAAAAGCATATGGTTGAACTACAGCCAAACGTCAGTCCCGTTAAGCAGCGTTATTTTCCCATCTCGCCCGCTATTGAAAATATTGTCCATAACGAGATTGATGAAATGCTCAAATTAGGTGTGATTGAAGAGTCCCCACATAACCCGTGGTCTAGTCCAGTAGTATTAGTTAAGAAGACCGACAAAGCTAGGCCATGTTTAGATTCTCGGAAAATAAATAGTGTTACCATCAAGGATACATACATATCCTTTAACGCATTTCGAAGGAATTCTCAGCAGATTACCAAAAGCAGAATTTATAAGTTCCCTTGATCTTCGACGTGTATTTTGGCAGGTCCCTCTTAACGAAAATTCGCGGGATTACACCTGCTTTATGGTTCCAAACCGCCCATTATACCGCTATTGTGTTAAGCCTTTTGGACTTTGTAACGCTCCACAAGCTCTATGTCGCTTGATGGATCGCGTCAATTCTCCTCAACTTATGAATCAAGTTTTTGTGTATCTCGATGATCTATTGATCGTATCCGAAGATTTCACTACTCATATATCTGTTCTATCTGAAGTAGCCTTACATTTACACAAAGCTGGTTTAACATTAAAGAAGTTAAGTATATTGGATATATTGTTGGTGATGGAACATTGCGTACTGATCCGGATAAAGTCTCTGCAGTCACAGAATATCCAAAACCTACAAACACGAAACAATTGCGAAGATTTCTCGGAATGGCTGGTTGGTACCGCCGCTTTATCGAAAATTTTGCTACTTAAACAACTCCTCTCTCAATATTACTTTAAAAGAGCAAATCATTTACATGGAACTCCGAAGCTCAAGAAGCGTTCCTTACTTTAAAAGATAAATTATATTCCGCACCGGTATTGCAAATCCACATTACCAAAGATGTTTTATAATACAATGTGATGCCAGTAAATTACAATAGGTGTTGGTGCAGTTCTCTCGCAAATGAATGATGATGGAATTGAGACCCCGATTGCATTTTTTTTCACAAAAACTAAACAATGCTCAAAGTAATTACTCAGTAATCGAGCTTGAATTTCTTGCAGCCTTGCTCTGTCTGAAAAAGTTTCGAGCGTACGTCGAGGGTCAGGAATTTAAAATCCAAGGATTTAAATTTAGTATAAAACACAGGAAAGGTACTCAAAATATTGTTCCTGATTGTCTGTCCAGAGAGAACTTCGACGACATATCTGTAGGTAATAGTGAAGTTTGTGATGTTATTGACTGTGATGTTCGCCCTCTGATAGATTTAATGTCAAACGAAATTAAATCAGTAGAATATGAAAAATTAAAGACGCACATCCGTAATAGCTCGTCACGTTTACCTGATTTACAAATTTAAAATGAATGTATTTATAAGCGAACTGAATTTTCCGATGGCAATCCTGAAAACGAGCAATTTAATTGCAAAATGTGGGTTTCAAAGAGTTTGGTAGCTCAAGTTATTGATAACGCTCACTCACCTCCAAATAAATGTCATGGTGGCATAGCAAAAACATTAGAACGTGTACGTAAAAATCTTTATTGACCCAATGTGACAGTAGACGTCAAAAATTTTGTTGTTTTGTTTCAGTTAAAAATTTTCATACTACAGTCATATACGATTACTTACAAGAAAATGTTTTAATTTATTTGGTACTCCCGAGGTTGTTCTGACAGATAACGGAAAACAAACTAAGTCGGCATAATTTAATCAGCTTTTAAGCCAACGGGGGATTCGCCATGTATACACCGCTCGACATAGTCCTCATGCGAATGCCAGCGAAAGAGTCAATCGCTCCACCATTATTGGTATCCAGTCCTACATACAGAAAGACCAAACAATTTGGGATAGACATCTAGCAGAAATAAGTGAGGCACTTCGAAGTTCTTATCACCAAGCTACAGCCTGTACGCCGTAATATGAACTTTTCGGTCAACATATGGTGACTCATGCGCAAGACTACGAACTCCTACGGAAACTCAACGACTTGGATAGTAGCATTCTTGAAAAATCAGATAGATTAAAACTGATTAGAGATTCGATTGGTAGAAATATAAAAGCAGCATTTGAAGTATCAGCTAAAAGATATAATTTGCGTAGCAGTATCAAAACGTACAAAATAGGCGATGTTGTGTTCAGAAGAAATTTCACTCAAAGCGACGCAAGTAAAAAGTTTAATTCAAAATTCGCACCTAAGTTTATCAAAGCCAAAGTTATTGGAACCAAAGGCAAGTGTATGTATTATCTTGAAGATGTAGAAAGCAAAAAAAAGGAATATTATCAACAAAATGATATTCGCGACAGTGGCGAATAAATTCGAAAACCGCACCAACACTTTTGGATGGGGGTGTGTACTGGATACAGGCATCTCCTTATCATGTGTATGCAACAATAGCAAAAATTTTAATACAATTACATACGAATAAGCATGGCAATATGTTTGATATTTCCTACTCTTTCTCTTTTTCAAACTTCTTCCTGTTCCTCGCCTGTACATTCTTTAGCGACACCTAAATGTGATGAAGATTAAAAACTAAGAATTAATCAATTTCAAGAAAGTAGAAAATAAATAGATATACAAATAATATCTCATATTCATTTCTTTACTTTATTTTGGTAAAATAAATTTTATTGAAACGAACTATTTTCTGAGTTATTCTCAAATATCAGTTTCATGGTATACCATAAACCACACGTCTTGGAAGCACAAAATGTAGTAATCTCGGCAGAGATGATTTAATCTTAGCCATGAGGTCAATAAGATTTCCCTTTCCCAAAGATCTTCCTTTTCGATTGGAGCTGCCGAACGATACAGATGTGCCTTAATAAGTAATTTCACGCTGCTTATCGTAAATTCTTTTTATAAAAATCAGTTAAATAAATTAGTGTTGATATTTTATTATTATTTTTTATTTTATCCGGATATCAGGAATTAAGAACAAGTAAATTAGTCTGCGGGAGCAAGCGTTTGATATATGAAGGGATATGCCGGATTATAATATAAAAATTGAAAAAACGCAGCGATAACGACATTATCGTAAAAAATTGACATTCTTAATTTAGTTATATACCAGAATAACGAATGGTATTAGTATATCTAAATACTTAAATCAAAAATATAATGATATTGTTGCGAAAATGCGAGGCGAATGTCAGACGAAAGAGAGAAGCCGATAACTTGTATTTTCTAGAAACGATAAAACGAGAACCTCCCATAGCGAACAACTCGAGTATTCTACACTTTCGTCTACGAGTAGCCGACTGCTACATAAGGGCGACACTCAGCTGCAAGTTAAGTTAGATACAAAGCGAACTCGTTGGCGTTAACATCAGTAAAGTCGTCAAGTAAACACGTTGGAGATCACATTTAAGTAGAGTAAATTGTGAAAGTTGATGATTGTTACAATCACTATGTAAATAGTAAAGTGCACTGTAATTGAATTGTGAATTACGGAGTAAATAAAGGACATTAGAAAAAATCTTTATAAGAAAGAAACTGCAAATTAAGTTGGCGAGTTTTATTTAACAATCCAGAGATCGTATCCGAAGGATTTAGAAAATAATAGAGCTTGATTTAGCAAAATCGTAACAATATAATATAATCAATATAGTCATATTGTTTTAGCGTTTCTAATCTTTGCACTCTTCG